GAAAGGACAGAAATGTAAAAAAAAAAAAAAACAGGAAGAGAAAGGGAGGAAGAGTGGATGGGAGATTGAGGGGTGTGAAGAAGGAAGACAAAGGAGACGGAGGACGGAAAGGGACGTGGTTAAGAAAGGAAGACAACGGAAAGGAAAAGTAAACAGGAAGAAGAATAGGAAAGGGGAAAATGGAAAAGGTAAAAGATGGAGGAAATGGAAGATGAAAAAAGCGGTGGAAGAGGGAGGAAGAGGAAAGGTAGGAGGGGTAGAGCAGCAAGTAAGGGATGATAAGAGATACAGGAAGGAGGATGAAGGAAGATGAAGGAGAGGAAAGGTAAGTAAATCACTGAATCCACAGCAAGAAAAAAGATGAAAGAGAAGAAGGGTGGATGGAAGAAGGTAAAGGAGAGGAGGAGACATAAGGAGAGAAGTGAAGAAGGAGAGGAACGGTGGATGTTTAAAGGAAAGTAGATGAACATTCATGGGATAGAACAACTCATGTACCAGGAAAGGAAAGATATGGATGAAGAGAGAGAAGGAAGATGAGGGACAGAAGGGAGAATAAATAGTATTCCCTCTTTCATTTGATCAGGAAGGGAGAGGAAGTAAAAGAAGGACATTGAAAGAAGTGAAAGGTGGAGTGGAGAAGAGGGAAAATGAAGGAGAGGAAGAGTCAGTGGGAGAGAGAAGGAGAACAAGAGGAAGAGTCAGTTGGAGATAGAACTTCAGGGAAATGGAAAATGGAGAGAAGGTGAAGGTGAAGGTGAAGTACTGGAGAGGTGGATAGTTTAAAGAAAGAAAATGAAGGATAGGAATCAGCCATGGAGGACAGAAAGAGTGGAAATGTAAAGAAAAACAGTGTGTGACAGGGAGGAACAGTGGATGGGAGATGGAGGGATATGAAGAATTCAAATGGAAGAATACAAAGGAGAGAGAGAATGTGAATGGAAGTGGGTAAGAAAGGATAACAACAACAGAAAGGTTAATTAGACATGATGAAGAACAGGAAAGGTGAAGATGTAAATGGAAACATTTAGAAAGAAAGGGAAGGAGATGAAAAGTAGGTGGGAGAGGCAGGGAGAGGAGAGAAAGGAAAGGTAGAGAAGTAAGTCAGGGATGATGGTAGATACAGGAAGTGGAAAGATACAGGAAGGAGAATGAAGGAAGGGTGGAGAGTTAAAGGAAGGATGTTACAAGGAAAAGGAAGACTAGAAAAGGTGGAGATGTAAAGGAAAGAAGATGAAAACCAGGGAAGATGGAAGATAGAGAAGAAAAAGGGAGGAAGAAAGGATGGAGATATAAAGGAAGCAAGATGGCAGAACTGAAAGGATGTGATGTAAATCACTGAATCTGCCACATGAAACAAGTTGAAAGAGAAGAAGACTGGATGATAAAGGAAGAAGATAAAGGAGAGGAGGCGTCAAAAGGAGAGAGGAGAGAGAGAGAGGGAAGCTGGAGGGAGATGGAGGAAAGATGAGGTATTGGAGAGGTGAATAGATGAAAATAAGAAAATGAGGATGGATAAGAATCAGCGACAGGAGACAGAAAGAGTGGAAACGTAAAAAAAAAACAAGGAAGAGAAGGATGGATTTGAGATAGAGGAAGGTGAAGAGGTGAAGAGGATGAAGACAAAGGAGAGGGAGGGTGGACTTGAGAAGGAAGAAGAAGAAAGACATTAAAGAAAGGATGGAGAGGTAAAAGAAGGAGGTTAAAGAAGACCAAAGGTGGAGGAGAGAAGAAAGAAAATGGAGGAGAGGAAGAGTCAGTGGGAGAGAGAAGGAGAATGAGAAGGAGAAGAAGGGTGTTGTCGAATAGGAAGAAGGGTTGAGAATCCACAGTGGATAAGGAAAAGGAAGGAGGACAGAGGGAGAAGAAGGGAGGATAAGAAATGTTATGAAAGATGGAAGAGGAAGAAAGGTAAAAGGGACCTGAGTTAAGTTTTCTGGGAGTCATAATGCAGAGTGTAGGGGAGAGATGAAAAAAGGAAGCAGAGACGGTCTCAATGGGTAAAGGAAAGAATTGAAGAAGAAGAGGAAGAAGAAGAAGAAGAAGAACTGTGGAGAGGTAAAGGAAAGATGATGAAAGTCGGAGAAAGAAGGAGGAAAGGCAAAGTACTGGAGAAGTGAGAGGTTAAAGGAAGGAAAAAGAAGACAGATAGGAATCAGCCATGAAGGACATAAGGCATGGAGATGTAAAAGAAACAGGAAGGGCAGAACAGGGAGACTGAGCAGTGTTATACTCCGGGTAATTAGAGCACACCCACCAGTCTCCCTTCTTAAACAAGTGAACCCCCACCTCAGTCTGCCAGTCCACAGGCACTCTTCCTGACCTACATGCATTTAGGTCAGCAAGGACAGCCCAACAATGCCCTGAGCCTTCAGCATCTCAAGGCGAATCTCATCCATACCTGACGCCTTGTCTCTGGCGAGCTCTTTGACTACCTTAGCAACCTCTGCCAGAGATATGAGCCAGAGATGTGAGCCAGAGATATGACTTCCACTGAGTGTTCAAACTCCTCAGAGGACATGCTGGCCAGTTAGGACCGGACTGGGTTAAGAGTAACCTTTGACGGACGTTACGCTGTTTTGGCAGAGGTCATGCTGGAACATGCAAAGCCGCAAAGTCGGCAGCTCAATTTCAGATAGTGATCCGGCCAGTGATGTAAAGAACTTGGATCACAGTGAAGTTCTGCGTGACTGTGGTGCATCATACCAAAGCATCTCATTGAATGAACAGCTTCTACATGACTTAACCAGCAGCCTTGTGGGCATTATAATATGTCGACACGTAGTACGGTTGGCAAAATACTTCAGCCATTAACATGTACAGTATGTACGCGTTTAAAATATGTCGACACATTTACAGATCTATGCATGCATTTGCACTTGGAGATTTTTTTCACATATTAACAAATCTGATTTTGCACACATGGATTCTGAATACACATTTGGAAAGACAGATGGTCAAGGAAGCGAGGTGAGAGAGGATGGGTGATTAGGTGAAAAGAATAGATGCGTAAAGGAAAGAGAGAAAAGTTTAAGGTGTAAGTAAAGGAGATGTAAAAGTGAGGTTAGAGAGGTCATATGAGGAAGACAAAGGAGAGGAAGGGCCAATGGTTGAAGGAGGGAGATGAAGGAAAAGAGGAGTAGGTAACAAAAAAGATTATTTCCGACTTTGCCGTTGGAGCCAGTCAAACCGTTGCCTTTCCTGGGGCCAGCCACCTCTTAAGCTGACAGAAGGGCCTGGATGTGTATGCGTGTCCATTTGCGCAGCTGATCCATATGGATGTGGCTTACATTCTGGGCAGCATCACCGCACTCCCTGGACTCTCCTATGAATGCCAAGAAGACAGAAATGTACATGCGTACAAGTGTTTAACAGAAAATCCAATCACTCAGATGGACTCAATGCACTTCAGCCTTTTACATCTGCTGTCAAACAAAACTGTTGCTGAATTCACAAAGAGTCTGGCTTCAAGTATATCACTGGAAGTCAGAGAAATTTAGTCATAAAAGTAAAAGTAATTATGCTGACAGAATAGTACCTATTATCACATACTATTGGATTATTATTGCTAATGCATTATGTAACATAAATTAAGTCATACTTTGTTTGTTGCAGGTTTGTTGGTGGTTAAATCTATGTAAATTACAGTACAGTTTTTGTACAGTACATACAGAAAATAATATCTGTCTTCATACAAGTGAATAGAAATTGAAGATTTGTCAAATGAAAAACTCTTACCTTGCTTCTTCTTCAGTGTCAGCTCTCCACACACCAGCTGGACAAAGAAACACGTGACAGGAGCTGAATATAATAAATTTCCACTCAATATACGTGTTTCTCCGTCCAGAGTCTGCAGTAAAATGAGTCTTCTGTGTCGCAGCAGTTCTAGAATGAATACATCATAATGAATCAAATGAGCTCATTATAATATTTTGGAACCTTGTCATTCTCTGTGGAACCACACACACACACACACACACACACACACACACACACACACACACACACACACACACAACACACACACACACACACCCTGCCCTAACCTTAACAATCATAAATAAATGCCTGACCTTCACAAAAGGCAAAGTTCCAGTAATTGTACTGTTTTTCTCATTTTACAGTTTTCTCTGCTGTTGGGGTTAAAAAAGAACCAATAACCTGTCTTTTTTTTTTGTTTCCAGTAAATTACTCTTAAGTTAAAAGACCAAACTAATGCTGTCACACTAAAGAACCCATGAACTCAAATGCACAAAAATACCGATTACTATCAGTTATACTAACAAAACCATGTGTTATAATATCCTGAATTAAAAACTTAAGTTCTGACCTTTGCAATTCATCATTTTGTACTCACACAGCTCATGTTGATACCAATGTTTTCACCTTATGAGTCTGTGTGTGTAATCATCCTGAAGACACCTACTGTAACAGGAACTATGTCAGAGGTGGTTTTGAATATTTTGGAGGTGGTTTTTGAATTATTTGTCTCTGGACAGATTTTATCATCACATTAGAGTCACAGCTGTGTAAGATACACTCAGAAAACTTAACCCATCACTCGGTGGTCTCCAGTTTTTGTCTGCATACATCATCACCTGCAGCCACTATGTTGTGTTTATCTTTGAAATTTCTGACACTTTAGAATTCCTGGCCAAACTGAACCAAAAACAAATCAGGTTTTCTATTCTGCAGCAATGACAATGAAAGGGGTTTTTGATGGCAGTGTGGACATTTTCTTGCTCTGTGAAAACACTGCTTGCACAAATCTGCCATGTTCTGTTGTGTACCATCAGAAATTATGAAACTGCTGGGGCATAAAATCATGACAGTGAGGTGAATTTGTATTTGAGGAAATACATCTAAGTTTTACGGCACAGAGAAATTTAGAGGAGAAACCCGTTAGTAGAGTAAAAGTGTACGTGGCTTGTATTTCTGATTTGCAATAACCACAACAACTGTATTATGCAAAGATAATTATTTATTGTAGAATCAAGTAATCATTATTTTTTATATGTTCCGTGTCCATTTTCCCTGTCAGTGGCACTGCCCTGAAAGAGAAGGGAGGAAGATAAAATCTGTGAGAATAAATTCAAACTTTATCTGACCCATGAGGTTAAACCTCTGTCAGTCTCGACAGTATTGAGAGATGCATAAACAGAAAAACCAAACACAGGTTGACAAATGAGTAAAACTTACAAGGAATCCTTTCATTCTGTAAATTCTGGCAAAAGGTGATTCCTCTGCACAACCCAACATGCGACAGGGTGTCTCCACATGTGGAGCCCCTTCAACTATCTGTTGAAGAGAAAACATCACAATGAATATGTATAAGAGAAAAGAGGAACATCCACTGTTTAAAGAGCCATGAGACTGATAAATGCTTACATTGGCCAGTGTGTCTGAAAGACTGTCCAGTTCCCTCTTCCCTCCTGGGCTCAGTCCATATGACCAGTGCTGACAGCGGTGCTGTGGCAGTAACATCCCTACAAGCAGCAGCCACAGTGACAAGGTTTTCATACCCATTCTGAGGAAAAAGAAAAAAGAAAAAACATTATTTTGCACAGATATACATGCCAGTAATTTCCTTTAGTTTAACCCCAGAATCTGTTGGTTTTCAACCGATCACTGATTTATTTACCTTCTGTGCAGAAAGCAGGCAGCGTCTCTGATTTCTTGATATGCAGTCCTTTGTGAATGCTCCTGCAAACTATTTCTCAAGCTTTATATAAGCCTGTGATGCTTCCATTTCTCTTAACCCAACACTTCACTACAGGGGGGGGTCACAAAGTGGGATTAAGCTACACTTACTGGCCACCCGCAGAGCTGTTTAAAAGCTTACACTTGGGACATGCTTTGGCCACAAACTATCAACCATTTTCAGCTATTTCCAATGATTTTCTGCTGCTTTTATGATGTATTTTGAACATACAAAAACACTCACACATTCATTTCCAACTGAAACACATGAGTCAGAAGACTTCTTGTTCTTCATTGTAGTTTATTTATAACAGTCATTTATGGAAATATATATTTCCACGGTCGAGTGCAATAATCACAGATAGGGAGACCGACACCACTCCCTCTCTCAAACACAAACCAATCTTTGCCGCATATTGCATTCAGTGAGATGTATTAAAATAAATAACCATAGCTCTTCAATTGATTTTCACGCTCAAGGTGAAATACACAATATGATTGCCTTCATCATTCATTCTCACAGGCTGGGTACCTACTATTGAACTGAGTGAATAGTATTGCATCGGAGCAGCTTTGAGCTACAGTTAGAGAAACTTCACCAGTCAAAGACGAGTATAGCTCTTCACACATGCAAACGGACGCTGTCCAGTCAGAACTGAAGTGAGACCCTAGACAAAACAGCTGACGACACCTGCCCACTCTAATAGTGACTTTTTTTGGGAAAGATTTGGAAGCGCTGGATTTGATTTACATAAGATTACAAGCACCAAAGTTTTTGGTGTAAAGGTATAACATGTTACAAGTTAACATATACTTGTGCAAATAACTTCAAAGCATGATTAAGTGATATACATTGATACATGAATCATGTTTCCAGGTAAACCCACTTTGACAATATGAACACATAAAAATGGCTCTCTGTTAAAGCACGACAAGCTGGACCATTTCCTCATAATGGTAAGAATAATGAATGGCATACATAAACATTACAATAAGTAGTGTCACAGTCAAATGCATGCAACTGTGGAGCACTCACACACTGGATAAAAAAAAAAGAAAAAGAAAAAGAGGTAGATTCACAGAGCGCAAAACAAGGAAAGTGTTTTTAACATCACAATATTTAAAAATAGTAAAGGAGAAACCTCACAGCTGTAAATCATGTATTGCATACTCAAGCTGTGTTTATAACTAGCCTGCCACCTAGTTTTACGGTGCACTAACATCACTTTTAGTCTTTTAGACTGTGCTATTGTATGGCTTTGGCTTGCATTGCTTCCTTTAGAATATGTTGAACCCAGCAAAATTAAGTTACATACTTAAAAAAGGAATATATAATGACACAGTTATTGGTAAGTGACCCCTTCGATTTCTGCTACAGCAGCATTCAGTGAAGCTCAGTGCTCTGAACTTTACCGCACACAAATAATCTGATTTTGACTCCCATTAACGTAACATGTCAGTATAGTCACTGGATTGCATCCAGACACATCTACATACACAAGGAATATGACTTTGTTTTGGTGATATATGCAGCTGAACATTTAAAAACATCCTACCATACAAACATACATGATCAACCCTGGATAAATTCTAGTGCAAGATATTTAAAGCTAACATAATATTGGTGGAATGCCAGGGATGTGCATACAACTACCTGTAGTGCAGACAGGTAAAGAGAGATTGATAGTACGGTAGTATGGCAGAGGCTGACTGGAGGAAAAGAGCATTACAGAAGCCTTCTGTGGCCCATACTGGACTGACTTAGAGGTGTGTGCTGAGTTATCTGACACTCTGTGACATGTGCAGAGGGGTCAGCATCTCTTCAAAAATGGCTCCTTTTACATTGGATCCTCTCAGGTTGGCTTCTTGTAGATCACAGCCGGACAGGTCACAGTTCTGCAAAAAAAAGGCAAGAGGGACAAAACAGTAAAACAGGAGAAGTAAATGGGTTTGGTAAAATACCATCAATCTAAGAGAAGAACCCTATTGTACTATTAATGTTATACAGATGCAGGTTGAAAACATTCACATTCTACTGGTAATTTCATTCCAGACAAAGTGCTATGTAGGGCTCCAACCAATGATTATTGATTATAGACTGGACCATCATCTTAGTGTGTGAACTATTAATGTGAAAACAGTGAAAAAAGATTTAATGAAATCTGATATATTAATTGATGACTATCAGAAACACTTAACGTTAAAAAAAGCTAATCCTGTACATGAACACAAGGCGAAGTGCACCCAAAAACTTGCTCATCTTACAATCCAACCAAATCAAACTGAACTCTCTGCCAAGGAACACTTTTATTTACTTTCAAAAGTAAGTCTCAGACTTAAATCAATCGAAGGCGGAACCATTAAATTGCAATAAAAATAAAAAAGACTGAATTCATTGTATCCACTGTATTAGCTGCATATCCATCTACAGGAGGGTTAAACCTTGTATTACGATTAAATCCAGGGATCCTGCTGCTGAGCTATCAGAGATAAAGCTATTTTGGCAAAAGGTCTGGAATGTGCCACAAATATATAGTATATTAAAAATGATTTATGAAAACATTTATCAGATCAGAACCATGTCATCCTTTCTGGCCCTAAAAGGTTGCTATCAACTGAGTCAACATGAGCATTTTTTATAGTTAATCCCCTCTGATAGCCTAAACTCACCTCGAGATCAGTCCCTGCTAAAGTGGCCCCCCGAAGGTTACAGTTCTTCAGCTTTGCATTTTTCAGAGTGGCCACACGCAGGTTTATACCCGTCATTTGGCTTCCTTCCATGTCAACTCCTTTCAGGTTAGCACCTGGTTACAAAAAACATTTGGTTAAAATGTGGCTGCGAATGTGGGATGAGGTCTTCTTTAATCAAAAATTGTGGCACATTACCTTCCAGGTTTGCCTTCAGTCCAGACGGATCTTCAAAATTGCATCCTTTGAGAGAAGCTCCCTCAGCATTGGAACAGAGCATCTTCACTCCTTGTAAGTTAGCACCCTTCAAGACACAAACCAAAACATCAAATGAAGTCATGCTTTATTGCTTATGGGGAAAAAAGTCACACCCTACAGGAAATTCATTACATTGCCAGACTGCTGGTAGATCCACACTTAAAAATACTGCTTGCTATGTTCACGCCTGGTGCCTACACTGCTACTGAGTTTTTGATGCCCTTGAGGAAAAACAGTGTGCTTGTCATTTTTTCATTGTGGTGACTGTAAGAGCAGGTCTGTAACATTGGCAAACATGTTTAAGAACAGAATGGCCCTTCCTCCTCACAACTGATGGGTCAGCAGGTGTGAGGTGGCTGCAAACCAGGTCCACTGCTCACCAGCAAGAAGGCCAACAATTAAAAATAACACAAAAATGCATCTTAGAAGAAATAAATGTTCACATCCCCACAGTGGAAAAAACTTTTTGACTACATTCTGCACTTAGTTTCTGTCGCCTGATATTGCATGTGCACATGAATCATTTAGTGCTGACAAGAAAAGAGTTTTCAGACTTACATCCAGGTTGGCTCCAGAAAGATCAGCCCGCTCCAGATTGGAACAGCACAGGTTGGCATGTGTCAGATTGCAGCGGCTCAGATTAGCCATTTTAAAATTTATGTAACGCAGATCAAGTCGGGACAGATCAGCACCACTGAAATTAAGTCCCTAAAAGCAATAAAAGTGATAGTGTCAAATCTTAACTTGATAGGGTGACATGACGAGGAAAATGAAAACACTTTCATTAAGTTGTACCTGACAGCGGAGCTCTGACTTGGTGGGTGTTGCCAGCAGAAAACGAACAAACTCCTTGCGGGAAATGGGAGAGTGGTCCTCAGGTGGCTGTGCGTTCTGTGTAGAAAGTAAACATCTGGTAAGTAACGATGCATTCAAGTGAGGGATTACATTACTAAATGTAAGATGTTTGTCTTCTACACTTCTTATTACCTTGATTGCTACTTCCAGCTGTTCAGCAAGCTGCTCAATTCCAAAGAACCGAGCCTCTTCAAGGACACCTGAAAGACATTTAGGATAATGCTTCCAATCTGTGCTTACTTTCTAAATCAGGATATTGTTGTGGGTATTTTATGTAATGAAACTCTTCACAGCGATTCAGGTAGACTTCATCATTTAGGATTTGTCAAAAGTTTACCTCGAATATTTATGCCTTCATTTATAATGAGCTGACCATGTCTCAAGTAGTTGAGAATAGGCTCAAAGTATTCAGGGCTGCGGTCGATCAGGTAAGCACCATGTTTGTCCTGCTTGTTCCCCCACACATCTGGAGCAAGCAGAGGTTGACAAAAACCCATTCAATTACATGGCTCACATAAAAAAAGAAATGCTTGTTGACTGGCAAGTCCGCTCTGTAGCCATAATTTACCTTTCTCTCGAAACATGTGAGCAAGCATACTCTCTGGCTCCTTGCTGACCAAGGTGCTCCTGAACACAAAAACAGACACAGTCAGCAAAGAAGGCAATGAAACTTAAAATCTTTTGTGATGTGTGTATTACTAGTGAACACAGCATACCTGGTGGTGGTGAAGAGACGCCCACCAATATTAAGGGTCAGCCAATCAGTGTGTGCTCCATGCGGATCAGATCTAACCTTGGCTTCATTTTGAGGATCTGTGGTATAAAGAAGAAGAGGAAAGTGTTGCTAAAGCCATGTGCATACTTTGACTGACAGCGGATGAGACTCCTTCAGCCAACAAGACGACACTCACCGATGAATGGATCTCCTTCTGACACATACAGCACGTCGTCATCTCTGTTAGACGCACAAATAAACACAATGAGCTGACTCGTCCATTATGTTTTAGCATCATATTTATTATTGCCGTGTGAGCTTACCTTATAAGGGCAATGTCATCTATAAGACCACCCTTTCCATTGTATAAACTAGAGGCTTTGATTCCTAACTTATTGCTTGCTACGGATAGTAAGTCGGACAAGGTCCCGTACACTGCTACAACCTAAAAAGAAAAAAATGTATTTTAGATCAGAGGGTTGTCAGGAATTGAAGTCTGAAACAAAATGGGTCACTCCTGTCTAATACAAGATTAATGAGTCGCAGTTAGCGGTGAGCTAACAGTTACGTTTAAATTACATATGGAAAGAAAGTAATAAAGGAAAAAGTGAGCCATGACTCCATATGACTTCTGTTGATAATATGAAGTAGTTACAATGTACAATTGACTAGTTACCTATAATAATGAAACACGTATGCTCAGTGGAAAAAGCCAGTCATTCTGCGGCCCAAGCTCTCAGACTAAACAGCCTGAGTTGTTACCCACCTTGCCATTTTTAGATGTCCCGTTAATGAATAACGTAACTCTTCTCATTCTTTATGCGCTTTGGTTATAAGTAATTTGTTATAATAAAAAAAAAAAGTAGCTTCAGTCAGCTACTTGTTTGCCGAATCAATCTGGCTAGCTAGCTGCATCAGACAACAACACGAGACAAAAGATGCCTTCACAAGCTAGCATGAAAAATTGGATTCTGATATTTTCATTGTAAACGAAGCTGAGAGGCAGATATTTTAAATCCATAACCATACCTGAACTTGTGGATATTATAGAGTTATGATATTATATTTATTTTTCTGTGAATTATATACATGCATTTTATTCATGCCATTGTAGGGAATCAAAGAGAACGGGAAATGTGTCTCATATCAGTCATTAATAATCAAAATTGTGTATAAGTTTTTTATGATGCATAAATTCATGGAATGAACAGTTGCACCAATGCAGTGGTTCATCTTTCATAATCATCATGCCGCCAAAGCAAAAGTTTTGTGCCATCGTTTTTTTTTCTATACACAAATCTAGAACGACCGACAGCACCTGAAGGGTGCCTTCTGACCACAGCTCAGTGATTGGTCGGATTGTTCACACGCACGCAAGCGTCGCTATATTCATGCGTCAGGTTGTCTGCTGCAACGAAAAGTTGCAGTTATTGTTTTGTTTGACAAACAGCAATGGGATAATGTGTCTGAATTCTTACATTTTTGTTACTTATTTAAACATTCAATGGTTTCTTTATTTTTTGGCTCGTGTGTTTGGGAGCTAGCTAGTTGTCGTAGGAGCCGTCAAACAGCATGATGCTATTCATAATAATTCGTACCAGTAGTAAAATTAGCAGTGTTCAGCTTTAGGTTTGAATCATTCTGGGGCAATTCTTATCCTGTTTGTGCCGATTGACACCATGGCGTCTGACAAACAGCACTGCTCGTGCTGCTCCCATCAGGTCTCCTCTCCTAGTGTTTACCAGACGCTGAGTGAAATGGATTTTGAACGAGGTTTGCATTCATGTGTCAGGTGGCTGAGTTAAACAGTGGTACTGATAAGAGTTATACCATATACAAGATATTTGTATTCTCTTTCACTAAAGTTGTTCTCCAATTTCAAACTGATGCATATTTCATTTTTCATTAAATGACTTGGGCTAACAGTTATTTCCATTCCTGATTTGACTGGTGTGTCAGTGAAGTACAGTGGTGTACTGTTTGTCATTGCTCTATGCAGGTATCTGGTCTGCTGCGGTGGATGGGAACTTGGAGAGGGTTAAGTCCTTGGTCCAGAAGGGCACAGACCCTAACCTGAGAGACTCATCTGGATACACAGCTCTGGTGAGTTTGTTGGGAAGATGTTTTGGCTAGAAGTGCTGTAGTGTCCACTGTTCTCATGTTTATAAATTGCTGCTTCATTTCTGTGTGTTTTGTCTCAGCATTATGCAAGTCGCAGTGGTCATCTTGCTGTGTGCAAGTTTCTTCTTGAGAACGGTGCCTGTGCATCTCCCCAGACACCAGGCGGTGCCACACCACTGCATCGGTCAGCTTACTGTGGTCACCTGGATGTGGTTAGACTCCTTGTACACCACAGGGCAGATCCCATACTCTGTGATGACGATGGTGCATCCCCTTTACATAAGGTACAGAGTTGCGAGCAGTAACACAATAAAACCTTTCCAGAAAGATAGTTTGATGATTATTTAACAGGTGCCTGCATTTGTGACTCTGTTGAATGCTGGTTCAGGCTGCAGAACGGGGTCATGAAGAGGTGTGTCAGCTGCTTCTTGAGCAGTGTCCAGCACTCTGCAGCCAGATGAACAAGAGGCTGCAGCTACCGTACCAGCTGGCACAGCAGGGAGATCTGCAGGAGCTCTTAAAACCACCTGGGTGACTACAGACACACTGCATCTGGAGCATGCTGAGTTGCTAAGATCAGACAAATGACAACATGACCTCAAAACATATGAGGTGAGGTCCACTTACGTCAGGATCGTGTCGACCTGGATTCACTACCCTTGGCTACTTTTTCCTCAACTGAACATCAGCCAAAAAAGCGACTGAGTGGTCAACACGACATTACATTTTCTAGCTTTAAACAATAAACATCATCCTGTTTTTGATTTCTAGTTCATTGCTTGTCTAATACTGTAATTATGCAATTTGAGATTTAGAAACCTGTAAAACCTGCCACATAACACCAGCTTCCACTGTCTGCTACAGCTGCACTCTTACCAGGTATTTGTCAAAAATAAAATATAAAAATTCAGTTTAATTAACCAATTATGGCTGCCATTTCTGGATTCTGCTAATCATTGACCATGACCGTTAAGAAAAACAAGTACATCAGCCTTTGTGTTTTCCTGAGCAAGTTATAACTGAGGTTTTCAGTTGGGGTTTAAGAGCTGATAAGTGATGAGGAAACAGGAGGATGTGACTGATCAGTGGGAAAAATGAAGTGAATACTTGCACCTCACCATCTGATGTGGTGTTAATGGCTGAATCTTCAGATTGTGATTCTGTGTAGGGACACTGAACTTTAATGTGCATTAGTTGATATGATTTCACAGGGGAATTAGCCTGCCATACAGATTTTTAGAAGTTCAATACAGGAACAGGAACAACAGTCATGTTATGAGTGCTGAAATTTCTCTTCGAAATTACTGCTAATTACATCTGGTGGGTGGTGTGATTTTAAAGGTTGATTTTAAAACTGAATTTGCACAGTGCACTTCAAACACCAGCATTTGCCCTCACCGCAGCAGTAATGATATGCTTTGAACATGTGCCATCTTTGACACAGAAGTGTGTGTTATAACTGGAGGTTAGCATCTCCCTAATATTAGGCTTATTTGTTTAACTTTGTCTGGCAAATTTATATGACATGATCCTCCCTGGGCTTTTTTTTTAATCTCTCGCAGCAGGGGGAGCTATTGTCTTACAAGCAGCATGTTTTTTTTTCAGTACACTGTGAATTAGCTGGCATCCTACACACAGTGACCTCATTCGATCCTCTCAGCTCACTGCTGGAAAACTCAACGGAGTGACTGTTAGAAAGAGAGAAAAGCATCACTCTAATAATGCGTCATGGATGGACACCACAGTTCAGCCAAGTTATGTATGTAACACCGTACTGGGTTATTTACTGTGTATTAAGGAAATTACCAATCAGTCAAACTGCAACAGATTTTTTTTTTTCTTAAATGCTTAAAATTTCAGGTAATGATACATTGACCTGTTGCTAGTAACATGTCTCAGCTGCTTCTACTATACTAATTTTATGTCTCTGTCTCTGTACTTTAGCAAAGACTTGCGGCCTGCTGCTTCCTGTGTAAAGCATTTACACTTTTCTGCACTGGGAGCAGATGCTGACAGTTGATAGTGTGTGTTTTTGTTGAGGTAATGACCTGAAACCACACAACTGTCCACCTCTGGCTCCTGTTTTGTAATACCTTTGGTTTTGATGCCTCTTTGTGTATCATTGTGACCTATAATGGAAGATTAAGCTAAATTAAATAATTGTTTCACCATCACATATTTAATAGGTCTATTAAAAGAAAACTTGTACTGGAATATTTTTTAAATTTTTAAAGTTTTTTTTAAAGGATTATCAGTTCTTAGCTTTTGTCTTGCTGCTCTCACTGAGATGCTTCGTCTTTTCTTAGGTTATCAAAGGGAGAACCATTACTGAATGCTTTTTTAACTGGTATTTATATGCAAAGGGAACAAAGGATGGAACCCCGGGGGTGAATAAAGGATGTTGATATTTCCATATCTCTTGAAACAGATGGAAATACTTTCAACTATTGTCTCACTTACTTACTTATTCATAGCATGTTCAATAAGTAACACATGCACATATGAGGCAGATACATTTTCCCCTCAGCCTTCCACAGATGTGCAGAGCAAATACTGCACTTCTTCTGCGCTCCCGCAGTCCGCACAAATACGAACCCACGACAGAAACCTCTCGCTGCAGTCTTGAGGAACTTTCATTGGGTCCGCTGGTGGGTGGTGTTTCCAAACTACCTTCAAACCACATCCAGCACTGTGACTGGAGGGGTGCCAGGCCACATCTGGAGCTCATTGCAGCTGACGCCACACAGCACAAGGAGATGGGGTGTCGGGGGTTGGGGGGGTGGGTGGGTGGGATTGGGGTATTTTAGCTCAGAGAACTGAGCCAAGAGAGCTGTTTACGCTCACTGACAAGTTCCTCCTTCCACACAGCTGAGGAGCTGTTGCCAGGATCACCCGACTTGAGTGCCACATGTCAGTAATAGCAGTGTTTGGCTCAGGCTTTTTTTTTTCACCAGTCAATGAGCAGATTGGTTCGAAGATATCCCTGTTTGTTATCTAAAGGGCTCAACAAACAAAAGCACATTATGCTATTTGAATCAAACCAGTAATTTTGACCGGCACACAGACTATCACACCCGCCCACAGCACCCTCTGATTGTTCCTCTGCCAGGTTCTATGTAACATAATCAAAGGTGATGTCTTAGATTTGCTAGCAGTGAGCGAGGTAATGAAAACCCTCTGTGTCACTCGGTAAAACCTGGAGGAATGTTAAAGGGCCTCATTCGTTTTTGATAATTTTTCATGAGCTGGTTTGAATTTGAGAGCTGCTTTGCCCCTTTATGTGGAAACAATCAGAAACGTGCCTCTGCTGGGTGAATATGAGCAGCTATGACAGAAAAAAAAAAAAACATTTTCCACCCCTTTTATTTAAAAGATACTTTCACGCAACCGTGCTACTTCACTCGGTTTTGTCTGTACAAATGTGGTAATGAGTAACATCTAGAAAGATATAGCGTCATTTTTATGTCTGACTTTTGTGAGCTTTCATGTAATGCGAGGACTTGAAGAGGACTCCACAAGACGAGGAATTTGGATTACAGCTCTGTTTAGTGAGATTTATTTGGAAAGCAATGAAACTTCCTGGCCCTGGAACCCACTTCCACCATAATGAGCCAGAGTTAAACCAGCACTGGATGTTATTTTCTTCAGAAATAGAAGGTGGTCTGTATGCCATGCTTGTGTGGAGGATTTGTAGTCAGTGCTTAGGACTTTATTTTAAACAGCACTTCAGCCAGAGAGTGGACAATAAGAACAACTTGTCCTCTATGTATATTTCTCCACTTTAAGAATTTTGTTTAAGATGTAAAATTAGTTGTTTTTGTGGCTACAAAAAAAGGCGTAGTTCAACATTTAAAAATACGTAAGTCACCATTGTATTTGGTCGTGCCAAATGTCAATTCCTCCATTTAGGTGAAATCTGGGTGCTTGTTTTCATGGGTACAAGGGTCATCTGGTCCTTATCTTTCCTGTGTCCACCTGTACAAAACTAATGCTCTCTGGCCTCCCAGCTGCCCCGGCAGAGCCGGACCTGTCTGAGTTATCCAAAAGTAATCAGGTAAATGGCTGGCAGATGGGCACACATTAAAAAGTGCAGTACCAGACTCTGTCATGGAGGACCGCCCCACACCGTCTCATCTGGTTTGGGGGAGAAGGAGTGTGGGTGTTGGGTGAGGGGGCGTGTGTAATCAAATCTACAGGAGCTGCTCCTCAGAGATGCTGCATAATCCAATTTAGATCCACTCCCACTTCAAAGCAGCATGTTGTCTGCTGGTTGAAGTGATGTTGCAGATCTCACAGACCCACTTTCCAGGTCAGCAGGTGATGAGAGCCATGAGTCCAGAGGGCTGCTGCTCAGCTCTCCCCGGTCATCAGCACTGCAACTGTGGAAGGAAAATATTCGGCTTGTCAGGCGATGCAGCAACACACGTAGGAGCATGTGATACAAGTTTTTTTGTAGGTGTAATCAACATACTTGTTAGTTTTAGATTTAGGTTTAGATTCAACCACATTGTAGATATGGATATGGAAGCCATGTGAATTTGGGTTTCCTGTGGCCACACTTGGACAAAAATGCACATCTGGAAAATGTCAAGATGTCCCTACCTGCGACCATAATCATGAAAAAAGTTTTCCAATGTGGGTACTACTGTGGGTACGTTTGAGGGGGGAAATTTATTTTCCCAGATGATTTTTTTTTTAGACCCTGTGGTGGATGGTTAAGTTTCTTTTTATTGATTATGGAGATGTAATCTTCTCAAAAGCATGGCCAGACAAACAACCCATAAGCTGTACCATATGAGTCAGAGGACAATTAATGAAGCTTTGGGATCATACATCTAGGTCCCATCAAACCAGGAAGTTGTTAGAAATCAGCTTATCATGTATCATCTGCCAAATCTGCAAAGCAACTCTGCAAATCTACTGTATAAACCTACTGTTTGCCTCTTGTTCAGTGCATTTGAGCTTTTTGAGCAATTGCTCACATGCACATATCGTCCAACCTATTGAGTTTTAATCTGCATATTTTCCACTTTTTTTTATTTACCTGTGTAGTTTATGGTGATGAGAGAATTTGTTAAGTTAATACAGACTGTGGTTCAAAAGGACGGAGATTTGAAGACTTCTTACAGCAGCACTTGGATAAAATACCATTTAGTGTTTAAATTTGCTGATGTGAGTTCATGGTCCATGGCTGTCCATCATATTTTTATGTCTTTCAGCTGTACTGTGCTTTCCTAGTTTTTTAAACGTTTACATTATAGTGTATATGTCACACATAAGTTTTCCTCTTGTTTTGTCACTATAGAATGATGTGAAATCTGAATGTGGGTGTTGAATATTGACGCCAGGGACAGCCAGCATCATCAATACGTAACTTAATGTTGAGGTGAGTGCTCAGGATTAATGTGTGACGCACAGTAGTGGGAAGTACAAACTGAGGAAATTCTTAAAATAGTAGTATTTGCCTTTTATCCCATTTTATACTTCTACTCCACTACAGTTCAGTCCTTTTTACTTCACTATATTGTAATGCTAGTAATAGTAATCCAATATAATAATATGTACTAGTATGACGCAAGGTATTTCCAATGATGAAGTTAAAGGAAAGGATCAAGAAAAATACTTTTTTTTTTTAAAAAAAAAGGCCCTTCAAAGTCTTCAAATGCTGTAACATAAGGACAGGTTAAAAAAAAAAAAAAAAAATTTAGGTTTCAAAACTTCACTAATGTGGTCAGACAAAATATTTTATAGGCAACTGGATATT